AGCATGAATAGGAGAGCAATACCAATCTCCTATTACAAGTGTTCAGTCAGTGGGGATTCCCTGTTGTGGACTTGTTTGCAACCAGTGCCAACAAGAAGTGTTCACAGTACTGTTCTCGTTTGGGCATTGTCATGCATGCTTTCTAGGGGATGCGTTCACAATAACATGAAGCGCACCACTATCATACGCGCTCCCCCCAATCCCACTTCTCCATCGAGTAATCAACAAGATAAAGCAGGACAGGTCCACAGTAATATTAATCATTCACTGTTACCCCAGACAGACATGCCTTACCTGATGCATATGTCTACAAAGAAGCCAGGGCATTTCCCCATGCTCCCTCATCTCCTGACTCAGAACTGAGGTCACATACACCATCCACAAGTCCATACTCTCCATCTGCAGGTATGGTTTCTGACTGGCTCATCTCAGTAGAGGCAACATGTCCTGGACCGGTACAAGAGATTCTTCTCAACAGACACAGAATAACTAGGAAAAAGTCACATTTATAAGTGGTGAAGATTCTCTATGTGGTACCAACAGAAGCAAATGGCTCCTGTGACTGCCTCCCTACCTTTAGACCTAAAGTACTTGTTATCTCTCAAAACCTCAGAGCTCTCATTTAACTCATTAAAGGTTCACTTGGCTGTGGTAACTGCATTTCACCTCTCAATAGATAAGTCTCTTTTTACTCACCCTATTACTAAACGTTTTCAAAAGGGAATCCAAAATACTTACCCACCAACAAAGAACCCAACGACACTTGGGATCTCAATGTAGTACTTAGGGCACTCACCCGCAAGCCTTTTAAACTTCTCACCACCTGTTCGATGCTACACCTATCCATGAAGCTGGTTATTTTAGTCACCTTCACTTCTGCCAGAAGAGTAGGAGAATGTGACGCTCTCGTGGCAAATCCACCTTTCACAATATTCCACAAGCACAATGTTATTCTATGCCCACACCTGAAATTCCTCCCAAAAGTCCCAAATACTTTTCATTGTAATTAACCTATTTACTTACCTGTTGTCTTCATAAAACTCCATGCAGGTAGCAGAGAGGCTATGTGGCACACTCTTAACATCCCTGGAGCAGTCGCATTTTATTTGGACAGAACAAGACAGATATGCAGATCTCCATATTATAATCTCCACAGGTTATTTGTGTCGACTACAGAAAGATCCATGGGCATACCAATCTCCAAACAGAGGCTGCCCATATGGATCATGGCCTGTATTAGATTGGCTTACTGTACCTTTGGATGGGACCCTCCGCTACAGCTACGTGCTCATTCCACAAGAGCAATGGCGATGTCTACAGCTTACCTGAATAACATACCTCTCATGAACATTTGCAGATCTTCCACAGTCTTTTGCTCATGCCTTTACAAAACACTGGGCTCTTGAATCTTATCTGTCTCATGACACTCACTTTGGCCAGACAATATTAGCTACCATGCATACTAATGATCAGCTGAAGCTCAATCCTCCAAGCATGAGTACTGCTTCATCGTCACCTAAGGTGGAGCACCCACCAGGACACTTTTCGAAGAAGAGAGGGTTACTTACCTTGTGCAGTAAGGAAGGTTCTTCTAAATCGTTGTTCCTGTAGGTGCTGCTGCACCTCCCCTTCTTCTCCTCTGCTTTGGAACCATCTAGACAGAACTGAAGTTGGCTGTGCATGTGGAGTAGCTGCACCGGTGCATGCTGGGTGCCCCCTGTGCGCAGCCTACCGAGGGCACTGCTACCTAAATTCTCTGACTAGAGATGCAGTGGTGCTCTAGACACTTAGGGTACGTCTAAACTACATGGCTCCGTCAATGGAGCCATGTAGATTTGTTTGTTTGGCAAAGTCAAATGAAGTCGCGATTTAAATGATCGCGGCTTCATTTACATTTCCATGGCTGCCGCGCTGAGCCGACAAACAGCTGATCAGCTGTTTGTCCGCTCAGCGCGCTAGTCTGGACGCTCCCCTGCCGACATCAAAGCCCTTTGTCGGCAGGGGAGCGTCCAGACTAGCGCGCTGAGCGGACAAACAGCTGATCAGCTGTTTGTCCGCTCAGCGCGCTAGTCTGGACGCTCCCCTGCCGACATCAAAGCCCTTTGTCGGCAGGGGAGCGTCCAGACTAGCGCGCTGAGCGGACAAACAGCTGATCAGCTGTTTGTCGGCTCAGCGCGGCAGCCATGGAAATGTAAATGAAGCCGCGATCATTTAAATCGCGGCTTCATTTGCCTTTGCCTATGTGTCTAATCTACATGCCTCTGCCAACAGATCCATGTAGTCTAGACACAGCCTTAGGGAGCACCACTGTCAAAAAACCTCCCTTACTGCACGAGGTGAGTAATCCTCTCTTCTAATCATTTTAAGAGCTCAATGTGTATTCCACGACAGCAAAGAAGCTTACAGCACCCAACATTTTAAACACCTGAAATATTTATCGGTAGCTTGATAAGATTGAAGATGCTGGTTCTGAATTTTCCTCATTCCCAAGAAGGTTCAGTAACTTTACCCTAAATAGCCACTCAGGAATTTGAAATAGATTTATAGCAGAAATATATGGTCCAAACAACTGTCACACAAAACCTTGAAAAAGCTAATAATCTAGTAAACTCAGATGTCTGTTGTGCATGCTGTTGAACTTTCTAAATCAAGAAAATCCTAATACATTCTTCAAGGAAATTCTGATATGTAAGTCTTAAACATAAAAACACAATAAAAACAAACTAGTGTGTTTGGACAGATGTTCTTTTTTTGGTTTGTTTGATTGGGTTTTTTTTTTTTTTTTTGGCATAGACGTTGAAGTTTCAGATTTATTGCAAGCCTTTCCTGTATAACTACAAATAGTTGGTTAGCATGTGTCAACAGAGACAGAAAAGTTAGGGAAAACCAAACAGGTCTGGATAGGAGTTAGACTGAGAGAGGGAGAAGGCATAAAAGCATGTATGTTATTTTCTAATCTTGGATTCCATTACAATTTAAAAATTTTAGAGACACCATGTGGGAGAGGCAATTTTTTTAATTGAACCAACTTCTATTGTAAAGATAGACAAACTTCCAACTTACACAGAGATCTCCTTCAGATCTGAGAAACATACTCAGAATGTCACAGCTAAATAAATGGAAGGTGGAACATTATTCTAAAGAATGAATGCATATTCAAGGTACCATTCAAGATGAAGTAGCCTATTAATATGCCTCCAGTCATAGGGGAGAAAGGAAAGGGGAGGCAGGGAACCAAACGCTAGTAGATTTCTACCATCATGACTGCACTATTCATTAAACTCTTTCTGGAAAGCTCCCACACTAGCGTCAAATTCCTGGGAATCCCAATCAGCTTCAGCAATGGAACCCTACAGACAACTATATCCAAGAAACCCACATATAATCATGCCTATCTTCAGTGATCCAGTAACTACCCCAAATATAACAAGAAATGAGTAATCCAGAGCCAAGTGTTCAGATATCATAGAATTTGCTCCAAGGAGAAATTCCGGGATAGACACATACAGAACCACCTTTACCAAACAAGGACAGCCCGCCAGAGACGTGGATCATGTCATAGAACACAATAGGTAAAATAACTAAGACAAAAGAAAAAAGAAAGAAAAATGAAGTCTTAAGTGTAACCCTTTTCCATCAATCAGTATCATTCTTTTGTCATAGGAGGGATTTCATGTAGAAGTGTTGGTTCTAACAGCAAGGTGGAAGATACTATTAACTGAATAACAGAAGATAAAATATTTTATGCACTGTAATTGATGGGTGGTAATGGTCACAGGGAAATCTCAAACGTATAATCTAAAATTATAGCACAAAATTACAGTAGTAGGTAGAGTTTACAGCTTTTAGTAGAAGAGAGACTACATTGAAGACCAAATCAAATCCAAGTAATTAAACTTGTACTGTATATGTGATAGTGATAATGTGTATGCTTATTTCTCTAGTTGTATTAAGCATACGTTCATGAACTTTAACAGAAAAGCACCTCTGTCATGCATTAATTCCTTAAATAGTTGTAACATTGCATTAAAATATGTTTATTTTCTAAAAAAATTCTCTGACTAGTTTGCATATACCAATTAAATCACAATTTGTTTTACACTATTTAGAGGACTTTTCTTGTCTAAAGTAGCACTTTATTAATTATATTCCATTTTTTTCTACCTCTCATTTCAGAACGGTTTGATCACCATTGTCCCTGGGTAGGCAACTGTGTGGGGAAAAGAAACTACAGATTTTTTTATATGTTTATTTTATCTCTGTCCTTTCTGACAGTCTTTATATTTGCATTCGTTATCACCCACATCATCCTTCGTAAGTATGCTGGCGAAATCAGATTATGTATGTAGCCATTTGCTTGAGTTTTTATTTTTAATTTAATCTTTTGATCATCTAGGGTTTGGGGTTTGTTTTTCTATCATTTCTCTGAAATTTCAGAGCCTCCAGTGATATGCCATGATATGGCAATCTGAATTCCTATGCTAGGCTTCCTGTAGCAGAGCTTATAAAGCAACTTTTAATTTTCTTTCAGCTTTGTCATCTAGTGGGCAGTTCCCTTGAGGACTAGGCCATATGCTTTGTGCCCACAATATTATACTGCAGCTAATTCCATTTGGACAAAGAGGATTTTTTAAGCGTGCTCTTCCACAGTAAGGACCTGCCATCCATTCAAAAAGTGTAATTAGGGAATATGTTTTAACTGTTTTACAACCTCTGTTGATTTCCTCTCTAGTTTTACATCTCCCTCTATTCTGCATTTTTTTTCCAGATAGTTTGCCTAGACATAGACATGCATAGAGATTCTTGAATGGATAGACATTCTTAAAACATCCCTGCACATTATAGGGTGTATGTGATAAGATAGTGTGAGTGTTATAATCATGAGTTTGATACTGGTTTTTATATATATGCTGGATTGTGTTTAGAGGTATTTTGGGTGGGGAGGGAGTTTCTATTGCTGATAAATCCTAATAATCCCAATATATATCTCAGCTTCCTATAATTGAAAAAGTGTTTCAAACTCCAGTACATTTTCAAAAACTACTGGTATCATCTGTGGGAGAGAAGGATAGCCTCCCTTGAACTGCCTTTTTTTCTTTTTAAGGCCACTTTCAAAATTGGGCCTTTTTGGTAAGGTTGCTTTATGCTGCGTATTAGTTCAAACATTATACATAGTTCATTCCAGCTTTTGGTGTAACACATTTTACAGCTAGCCTCTTAATGGCATTGCTCACAGACATGGTTCTACAGAAAAACCTGCCTACATATAATTTTTTTAATTATTTGAATCCTACAAAAATGAAGCTGCTTTCCTTTCAAAAACAAAACCTGCCTCAGCATGTGCACTTTAGAGGAAGAATCAAAGACTTTTCACAAGATACCTAAAAATGTACAGTATTTAAGATCCTTTCAAATGTATAGCATAGACTAAAACCAAGATCAGTTTGAAATATGGAGCACTTACTTTTATAATGTGTCCTTTCTGCTAGGCGCATCAGTTCTATATTAATAATACTTGGAATATTATAATTAGAAAAGCATTCATAGTCCTAAATAAGGAAACATTAATTATTGGAATTATTTTTATTGTTTATTATTTAAACCTGTGAGGCATTTATTTTGCATGTTTAGGGAAAGCATGTTATGAGGAGGAATGTTTTTATCCATGCCCTTATTCTGGTTTGCCTTTTTAAATGTATTTTAAAACCTGACTTATCTGAGAGTATAAACCCTTTGCAGTTATGAATTGATTTCCCTTTCCTTCCTAAAGACTGGGGTGTTTTTTGTAAAGAACATGAAATCCCTGAGATAACTCATGTATTTGATTTCAACACAGCAGGTGAATTTACCAGTTTACTATTACTTTACAGTGGTCACCATTGGGAAAAAAAAATATTTACCACAGTCATGGTAAATAGATTAAGATTGGGGCAGATATTTTCACACTATATGCTTGAACAGCACATAACACGTTCTGGATGTTGCAGATATTGTTCAGTAAACATTAGATGCTGACATTTATTAAGAACCATCTGTGCAGGATTCTTGCTCTGGAGTTTCATCACCCTAGTATGAGACACCAAAAGTTTTTTTGGTCCCCAAAGGCAGTGGTAGCAGGTAAGCATTTGAGCAACCTCCGCACTGAAGATTGATTGCTACACCACTGCTTTAACCTTAGCTTTTGGATGTATCTAGTCCTTTCCTGACAGCAGTCTTTGAAGGAGCTTTCTGCCAAAATTGTATCTAACTGCAGCTGCAACTCTTCAGCTCCCTTAGTGCCTGTCCTGCTTCAGGTATTTTTTCTGTATTTCTTACCTCCGAGAGCCATTTTTTTTTCATCATCATCTTTGTCTTCTTTTAATCCTGCAGTTGTTTAGCTGCTGCTTGCCAATGAATGTTGATAGAGGAGAAGTCTCCAGGAATCTCAGTTCCCTAATCCTTGTCTTTGTATTTGGCACTGAGTGCTTCACTTAAGCATCTCTGAATTTTGGTGTTTCTAAGCTTCTGTTCATTTCCTTGCAATTTTAGATTTTCTACAGTGTTTTGGAATTCATGCAACTTCAAAGATACTTTCCTCTGTTTTTTTCAGGCTGTTTCTCCACTGCCTTATCCCTGTGGTAGGATCCAGGACAATGCCAGTTTGGCAGAAAGGATATGCAAGGAATAGTGGGTGACACTTTTGCCATGCTACAGTTGTTGACTTTCCTGGCCACAACTGTAGCCGTAAAACCCATGATCTGTCTACACAAAAGACTATTTCTAGTATACCCTGAGAGCCTAGTGAAAGAATGTTACATCTGGCCCAGAGGACTACAAACCTCTAGGCCTCCCTGATACTCCAGAAACAGTCTTCAACTAGAAAATGGAATCTGAATAAAAAATCATCCTAGTCAGATAGCGGTGACCTCAGATGTTTTCATCTAATGACAAGGCCACTATCTAGGAACTTGAACTCTCCAAGAGCAACAACTGCACATGGAAGGTTCTGAACTCAATGAAGAGCTTAAGAGACTTGATATCCCTTGGTAAAACAAAAAAAAAGCAACAGTCATATAGCACTTTAAAGACTAACAAGATGATTTATTAGCTGTAAGCTTTTGTGGGGTAGACCCACTTCTTCAGATCAGGTCTGCCCCATGAAAGCTCATCACCTAATAAGCCATCTTGTTAGTCTCTAAAGTGCTACGCGACTGTTGGTTTTGTTTTACCAAGATAAGATAAACATGGCTATTTCTTTGATATCTCTTGTGATTATACTGATTCAAATGGAAAATCAGGCTACCATGTTTTACATAAACAAGTCAGCAGAAGTTTGTGTCTCTTGTGTCAGAAAGACATTCCAATGAGAGAGAGAGCGCTCTGATACCCAAAAATATTCCATAGTAGATATGTGAGAGCCTCATGAGTGGTCTCTTGGATCAGGAAGTAGTGAATCAAATCTTTTATCACAATGGGATAGTCAACATGATTCCCTTCACCATTCACCCCAATGAGAAATCACTCATCTTTTACTGAAGGCACTGAGAAGGATGGCCAAACTTCTCTCAGCAAGTTCAGAGTCCTAGCCACGACAGATCACTCAGAACCATAATACTTCTCTGTATCCCAGTCTGAAAGCTCTGTGTGTGATGAGCACAAAGCACAGTAGAATTAGTGTTTTGATCCAATGGTTTGTTTTCTTACCATCTTGGAAGCTAAGAGAATGACTTAATATTGAAGGTTTATAAAGATTTTCAAAAACTGTTTATCTTCTTCTCCTGTGTTAATCTAATTTAAAGAATAACCCCATTTGGTTCATTTAGCAGCAACCCGTCAGGAGCTAGTCAAAGATGTGTCTATCCATTTGTTGTGTGGTTCTCAGTGGACTGATGCTTTTGAAACTGGTATTTAAAAAGCTGCTGATGTCATGGAATATTAATGTGCTCCAGGAATGCTCTTTTTGAGCCACTCCATATCTGTTAGTTCAAGGTTTCTAATATGGAAGGTGGTTTTCCTAGTGTTACTGACTTTATCTTATAGTGAGCTATCTTCAGGCTCTTTAGATTGATCAGTCTTTGCCAATTTTAAAAGAATAAGGAGCTCTGGACTCATCTGAGATGCTTTTGCAAGTTAGTTATGGAGTTCTACCTTCGTGAGCTAATTTATCTTGACAATATTTTCCTCAGCCTTCACTGCCTACCTCATGAAAAATTTCATTATAGGCTTATGCAAAATAGTCAGATGGTCCTTATTCCATATATATATATATATACAAAGCATTGGAGAAATCTTGCCTCAGTCCCTCAATGCTTCAGAACCTCCCTTGAAGTCCAAATTTCTAGCACCTAAAGTGTTGTGACTTTGTGGGCATATCCCTTGAGTTGGCCAAAGGTGTGAAGTTAGTTTTCTCTTTTTTAAAATAATAATTATTATTATTGTTAATAATCCTTTAGGCTGTCATAGGTGCACTTTTTTGAAGGAGAGCTGTCTTACCTTTATACTTTAAAAAGAATATACATTAGCAACTTTGGCTTGGTTCTTTCTGCCTGCTGTAGTTGTTTGATGATGCCTTTTTAAATAAACATCTGTGCGCTGTTTTCTCTCCTGGAGTGAGAATTCTATATAATGAGTATCTTTGGAGAACAGAAAATTACTTCCTTAGCAATTCTTCTCCTCCAAAGACATCCTCTTGCAGGATTCTTGCTCAACCACCTACCTTCTTTCAGTTTCAGACAGGAAACCCTTTACAATATGGACTTTATCTTTATAGTCATTCATTTTTAGGCACTCATTTTTCAGGTATTTTGTTTTTGAGATTGACTTTTTTGGTTTGAGAAACCTTCAGTTTCTGGGAGGAAGTCACTACAGGGATGTGACCACCAACAAGGAGTGTTACACACCTACCTGCTACTGGTATCCTTAAGGGCCCAAAGCCTTGGAGAAGTTGGGCAATTATACCAGTCTTGTGCCAGGAATCTAACACCAAAGTGTGAGAATCCTGCAAAAATAATCAAGAATGAAAAATATAAGGCAAGTAATTTTTTCTTCTTTTAATAGTGACCACTGTAAACCACTGGTGTGGCCAATGGAAATGGTGTCTCTTAAAAAAATGATCAAGATTATTTTTTTCCCCATCAGATCTTCTTTGGGTAAAGAGGGAGGGTTTTCTTAAAAGGGAAATTTTAAAAAAAGTATTAAATGAATGATGGCTAAATGATACAGAAGAATGCAAACTTATTTATAATTTGTGTCATATTAAGGGCCACTCTCTTCAGTTTTCTTTATTGCCTTGGTATCATTTCAATGCATAGGACCTGGAAAGAAGACAGATGTGCCCGGTGTGGGAATCCCTAATGATCATGGAGCTGGCATAGCTATCGCTTTCAGCACCTTTCAGGAATTTAATTTTTGGTGTAGGGAGTGAGTGTAGAACATGCTGTTCTCAGGCTCTTCCCAATTAGTAGATGTTTCCCTGGTGGCCATAGCCAATCAGCATACATTGGAGCTCTTCTCAAGTTGCCCTAATGTAGATAAAGGGCAGGAGGTGGCATTGAACTAGCCCAAGGACCAGAAAGCTGTACTTGCCTCCTTTGCACGTTCTTGCCTGGTTGCACACAGTGTAAACTAGGGGCAACTGAAATTTGGGTCATAGCAAGGTGTATATTGTATAGGATTTTCAAGTCCAAAAGTAACTTTTAAAAAGTCTCAAGAAAATATAACTTAAAATCTTTTCTTTTCCATATTAGGATGGAAAAAGAACAAAAGGATAATTAGAAATTTATTCATAAGAAATTATGCAGATATCAATCTGGTATTATTGAGAAATAACCTGCAGATGTTAGATATATTTATAATTCTGCCACTTTTTTGTTGAATAACTTCAGCAAAATCTCAAATTCACCTTAGTAATTTGTATGCTATAGTACTTTCAAAATATAATCATGCAATTGGTCTTCAGGCTCCACAGTTTTTGAGCTATGGATGTGATCTATGATGAAAGCAGCCTATACTGAAAATTCTTACTCATTTTTAAAATTTGGTTTTTGTTTCCACAGGATCACAGCAAGCAGGATTCTTAAATGCCCTCAAAGACAGTCCAGCAAGATATCCTTTCATTAAAATACACTGTAGATTTTGTTACATTCATATTAAGGAAGGTGTATCTGGGTTTTTGGGTGTGTGTGGTTTTTTTTCTTTTTACAGTTCTTGGATTATGGAATTGGGATATTCTTAGGAGAGGTTTCACCACTTGGTCTTGCATTTCTGCATCATTTCTCATTTAGGCTTTGTCTATACTACGAGTTTTTACAGCAGAAAATATGCTAATGAGGGACTCATGAACATAAGTCGCAACATCATGAGCATATTTTCTGTCGTTTCTTTTTACCCAAGCGTTTTTACACAAAAAGAAGCAGTGTGGATGTTTCCTTTTTGCACAAAAACTCTGTTTTGCGCAAGATCCTTATGCCTGTCTGGGAGAGGCATAAGGATCTTGCACAAAATGGGGTTTTTGTGCAAAATGGAAGCAGCTCCACTGCTTCTTTATGTGCAAAAACCCCTTGCACAAAAAGAAATGACAGAAAATATGCTAATGATATCGTGACTTATGCTAAGGAGTCCCTCAGCATATTTTCTGCCACAAAAGTTCTCAGTGTAGACATAGCCTCAGTGTTGAATCTAGGAAAGAAAAGAGCTCATTTTTTACCATTTTTCATCTTTTGGGTGGTATATTATTTTCTAAGTAAACGTATGTAATGTCCATTTAACATTTATTGAAATCACACACACGTTCAAGAGATGCATTTGGTAAATAACACATACACTCTCATGAGAGGAAAATATTTGATATTTGTTGACTTTTGGTGGGATAGAAAAAGCCAATTAACTATAAAATACATAACTGAAATATTAACAGGCACCAAACAGAACAATATTTCTTATGTTGATTTTGTCTGTCCTTTAAGACAGATTTTACAGTCATATATAACATTCAGGTAACTAATTGTTTGTTAGATTTCCATTCCCCACCCACCCACTATCTTTATATATGTAGCTCAAGACATTTCTACCCTGACCTGTAGTTTGGACTAAGAGGGTACAAATAGCAAAGTGCACTGAAGAGCTGTGCTGTAATTCACTTTTGTGGGCAGTGTGTGTGAATGTAATGGTCCTGAGTTTGCACTAATATAGTTCTCTTTGAAGAGGATTGCATTAGGTATGTTAAACAATTAACTTGTAAGCATGAGGCTTAGTGATATGTTAACTGGTTAACTGACATTGCCAGTGAACTCCAGCAGCGGACAGCCAAATTGGGCCAGAGCAACCCCAGCTGCAGAGGACTGGCAGCAGATCCTCACAGCCATGTTGGGGAGAGGCAGCAGTCCCTAAGTTAAAACAATTAACAGTTTTAACATCCCAGGACTACATTAGTGTGAGCTCAGGACTTTGAAATTTGCATATGCAGCATCTTACAGGAGAGTTGCAGTGCAACACTTCCATATGCACCGTTGTTTTCACCCCTTTTATCTGAAGTGCCAGGCTGGTGTAGACATTCCATCATCATCGCTGTGCTATTTTAGTATTTACCATCAGATTCTTGCCATTTTCACAACCTCTCAACTACAAGTGAAATAGGACTTCTGCTCCCAGTTAAGAACAGATAAGACAGAAATGATTAGGAAGCTGCCATAACTTCCTACTTACATTTCTGTATGAAGCCTTTCCAATTCCCCATTTGCATGTGTAGATGACTGATATATAGATACATAAAACAATTTGCATCACTCACAAAGCCAGTGCAAAAATCATTCTTTCATTGGTTCTGTAGAAGAAAAGCCTTTTTTCTATTTTGCCATAGATAACTTACTTTTGTGCACAAGCCTAGATTTTTGCCCAGAAGTACACAAAAATGACAGTTTTGCCTATTAAAAACAAAAAACCAACCACACCACACACACCGGTTGGGATGGATTTGTGGAAAAGCTTCAGTTTATTAATTGACAGAATTTTATAATTTTTGCTGAAGAATAAGTAAAAGGCTAAAGTGACAAGATTTGATCCCTGAGCATTGTCACCTGAATATATCTAAAATATCAAGTTAGCTAAATTCTGCAGATATAACTTCTATCATGTTCATTGATTTGTGTATTCATGAGGTAGAATCTTTGAGCCATAGCCAATTTTTAAGCTAAGCCACGTTTTTAGGAAGCACAAACAAGCAATCTATCCTAAATAGCACAACAGTAATTTCCACCTAAAAAAATTAGTCACTTCTAATAATAGATAGGTCTTTCAGTTCTCTCAAAATGGGAAAAGCTTTCAATTGTTCTTACATCAAAAGGTAATTGATTCCATACTTGTGGATCTTGTACAGGAACAATAGGCTTTTTATTCATAATTTGCATTCGAAGTCATGCCAGTTTGAGAGGCTCAATAGAGTGTTTTATAGAAGCAGCTCTTTTAGAATGTGACATGTTGGACAGTTTAATAGATTGGTTGCAATTCCTAAACCCCAAAAAATAAATTGCATCAGCAGTACTGGGAATTTTTTCTTGGGGCAAGATGGTTTGTGAATAGAGGAAACCGTGCTATTCAACTCATATCTTGCTAATAATACTATGTGAGAAACCGAGTTTTACAGGTATCTAGTGGTAGTAGACAACATTATTATCAATATCATTCAGTAACAGAGCCTAACTGCACAGAATCATAATGTTATAAATCCATTACCTTTTAGTAACTAATGAGCTTCCTTTTTATTTGCTCATCTTGATGAATGGGGAGTTCCTGACAAATTAAACTGAAGACAAATCTTTTACACCATATCTCTGTTTTCCTCACAATTCCTGCATTTTCATTTAAACACCACTTATTTAAGTGAATTATCTTCATTCCTTTTACTGTCTAAAGAGGCAAATTCCAAATCACTTGAATAAAAAAAAAAACTTAAGTTCACGCTCAGTGAGTCCTCCAGCACAAGGCTCAGCAGTTCACTCTGGCACTTGGAAAGTGAGAAGCTAACATATGCCCAGAATGGTAGGTCTCTCTCCCTCAGTCAGAAGCCCTGGCAGGTACAGATAGTGAAGCCTGTCAGGATGACCTAATGCTTCCTTGCCTTACTCAGGTCCTATGAGCATAAATTCATCCATGAACTTAAGGTCCTCAGAAACTACATAGCAAAAACCTTAGAAAACCTTATTCAAGAATACCTACAATATGAGATGTTGCAAAACAGTTTGCTTAATTAACCATGACCAACAGTTAATAAGGAAATGTTCTGTAATTGGTCCCATCCCAGTAGGTTGCTCTGGGAGATACTGTGCTCCAAAACTTTCCATACACTTGATGGTATACCAGGTATAGAATAGACTCAGAAGGGAGTACTTATGAGCACTTAGTCACTGACCCTTTGAGATCTAGAATCTGCTAACTTCCTGAAAAACCCTAACCCTAACCCTCCAATGCATTGTTAAAAGGGATTATTCAGTAGGGCTGACAAAGAAAAGACTGAAAATATTTTAGGTACAATGGCTTTGTCTTCAGTTGAAATAAAAGACAAATTACATTTTTTCCTAACTCTGTCCCAAGGAAACAGTCTGCTATAAGGATAGGAGCATAACTGATTTCCTCAGACATGATTGTGACAGAGTAAGGTCACAGATGATCTCTTGGGGGTGATTCCTGGAGTGTTGACAAGGCCACTGCCTCTCTCCTTTTTGCTTTCTGGGGCTTCTCGCCACCCTGTCCTGCTGGGCAAGCACCCTGGTCTCTCACAGCCAAGCCACAGAACTGAGAATCCCTTCTTTCCCACCCCCCATTTCTCGCCAAGAAGCAATGCAGATACTGAATCTCTTCAGGTCGAAGAAAAATGCAGTTTTGCACCCAGCTTCCTGGAATACCACTCCCTGAATGGGATCAAAGCCTCCAATAAATTATTTGGGTAAGTCTCCTTTAACAATGAAAGGGGGAATGTACACACTGATTGCTCCCCCAGGAATTATTTACACTCGGCTTAATAGAAAATAAAAGTGATTTTATTAAGTACAAGCGGTAGGATTAAGGTGGTAATAGGTGAGAACAGACAGAGCAAAGTAGATTACAAACTCAAAATGACAGAAAACAGTTTGGTACTAATACAGGCAGTCCCCGGGTTACGTACAAGATAGGGACTGTAGGTTTGTTCTTAAGTTGAATCTGTATGTAAGTCGGAACTAGCGTCAGCCGCTGCTGAAATGATCAGTTTCAACCGCAGCTGAATCTGGACGCCAGTTCTGACTTGCATACAGATTCAACTTAAGAAACCCAGGCGTCCCCAAGTCAGCTGCTGCTGAAACTGATCAGCGGCTGATTCCAGGAAGCCTGGGGCAGAGCAGCTCTGCCTCGGGCTTCCTGTAGTCAGCCGCTGGTCAGTTTCAGCAGCGGCTGGCTTCGGGACGCCTGAGGCAGAGCAGCTGGGGTGCTACCGAGTTGGTCCCGCAGCCCCGAGGGGCAGCACTACAGGACCAACCCGGCAACACCCCAGCTGCTCTGCCCCCGGCTTTCTCGCTCTTGCTG